AATTTCAAATTAATTAATTAATTAAATTGCCTTAGCTTTATTTGAGCAGATAATAATTTATTTATGCTACTTGAGACTGAAACTTTTTTTAAAACAAAATTGTAATTATTTCTTTTAGATTGTCAAACTTTTTTTATTATAGGAAAAAAAAGTATTCAATCGTAATAAAGTGAATATACTAATACTAAATTTTTTTCAATGTCATAGAGAAATAACACCATATTGTAAGAATAATAACCCTTTTTGAGGCAACTCTTGTCAAGTTGATCAAACAGTTAGCTTGGTAATCACTAATCACAAGTATTTTAAGTTTTACAATTTATGAGAGCTGTCTATTACCCTTTTTAGTTTAAGTTGATCAACTATGAACAATTTAAACTAGACAGCTTTGAATAATGACTTCGAGTTTAATTTTCACATAAATCAAAGAATAATCAATTTTTAATTATTTAGTTTGAATTAAGTACTCATCATCACTATTAAGTTAAAATGACTCTCACCATAAATATTTACAGAAGGTACATAATAAAAGTTTATAGAAGCCAAACTGATGGTCCATTCTAACAAAATATGAGTGGTGTTGTGTGTTATGTTGTGTTGTTGCACACAACAAATTGACAAACAGTTATAATATTTCAAATGACAGTTGGTCAAGGTAAAGTAACTCATTAGTAGCTTTTACCTATATAGTACTATACTACTATCCTCTTATATATATATATATATATATATATATATATATATATATATATAGGGTCCGGATCAGGTGAGGACCTAATCTTAGGTGATGACTAATTTAGACCATTAAATCAGAATGATGTATGATTGAGATTAAAAGAAACAAATCACACGGATTAAGAAAACAAATCCCTTTAAAATATTAAAATATATAAATTTAGGGTAAATCAGTCTTATTAAAAGATGTGCATTCCTATACAAAATGTTGTGCATTCCTATACTGAGTGTTGTGCATTCCTATACTGAGTGTTGTGCATCAATAACTTCATTGTTGTGCATTCAAACCCCGCCAAAAAATCATACAGTGAACATCCAATGTTCTACGATGCATTGAATTATGTGCTATAATGCACAACTCCCTAGCCTATAGTGCACAACTTACAACACTAGGTTGCACAATCAGCACACACGAATGCACAATCGTACTACCCAGGCATTTATACATATACACGACAATCCAAATATAGACAATATTATACTCAAAAGAACAAGCGAAAAAAATAAAAAATACTGATTAGTTTGCATGGGCGATCACTCAATCAATGATGAAGAAATCGCGGCTCCAAATTGCAACGGTGATGATCCAAGAAAATAGGAAATCAATTTGGCCAAGGATTATACATGCGTTCACACTTAAAAAATAGAAAAAGACACTATTATCCCATTTTAACAAAAAAATCAATCCATGTCATCTCAAGAACTCAAATCTGGACCATCCAAATAAAAAAACAAACGCACAAGATTAGTCCTCACGTCCTCACCTGATCCGGATTCTATATATATATATATATATATATATATATATATATATATATATATATATAACGAGAAAATTTTGCAATCATTATTCGATGGTGTGTAATAGGTAAACCTCACTAATATGTAATAGTCGTCATACATAACCAAACATCAATATTAGTAATCATTACAATTCCACCATACTATCAAACATGCAAAATACTTTCACCAAAACTCATTATTATTACCAAGTATTTGATTCCCAATCCGATTCTGATTCCTATGTGCCAACCAAACACACCATTTGTTTGTCTACTTTTGTTATCATACTATTAGATGCAAATCCTTAGTAAATACAAATCACATTACCTTTTTATTCTTCTACTTTTGAAGAAAAAAATAAAAAATAAAATAAAAAGGTCATTATCGATATATTAAATATGGAATTTTAATATATATATATATATATATATATATATATATATATATATATATATATAGTAGGATTCCAATGAGAACACTTGTTTAGGTGAGAACGTGAGAACAAATCATGTGCGTCCATCTAATATTTTTTAATGGTCTAGATTAGATTAAGTGTGTGCGAACGCGAATTAAATGTGTGCAAACACACTTAATCGCGTTTGCACACATTTTATTCGCGTTCGCGCACACTTAATCTGATCTAAATCATTAAAAAATATTATATGGATGCACACGATTTATATATATATATATATATATATATATATATATATATATATATTTATTTATTTATTTATTTATTTATTTATTTATTTATTTTTATTAATTATTTATTTTGATTTCAATTTCAATGTTTGGACCAAACACACCCTTAGTCTTGCTTTCAGTAATAGGGTACAATTGTGATCTCACTGAAAATCAGATGAGTTATTGATAAACTTTGACCAATAAATGATTGTAAAGATCTCTTGTGTACATAAGTATGCATGCGGTAAGAAACACAAAATCACCTGAGCAATTCAAAATTTACCTCTAATCGTCTAAATTGCTTGATGTATTCATGTGTATATGAAAAATATATACAAAGTAGAGAGTAGATTGAGAAATTTAGCTCCAAAAAAAGCTTTTGTTATTCATTGTAGTTCTTTGGTAGAGTAGAATTGGAAGAGAGGGAGTAGAAGTGGCTAAAAGGGGTCCCCTTCTGATGAAGCTGTACTTAATACCGGACAGGGATATATTCCTTATCAATCTCATTTTTAAATTTTGGGATAAGTTTATAAGATCGGATTTATTAGTTATATAAATCTTGAAAAATGTGTGTTAAAAAATTATAAAAAATTATCAAATAAGTCCCTAAATATTTCTCAAAAAATCAATTAAATCTTTGAACTTTCAAAAAATGTAATTAGATACATAAACTCACGATTTAGCTCAATATATCCATTAACCGATTAACTATTGGGTTACTTCTTCCGATAAATGTCTATATCGCAATTTACTTAGCAACTCAATATATCCATTAACCGATTAACTATTAGGTTACTTCTTCCGATAAATGTCTATATCGCAATTTACTTAGCAAAAATGTTAACATTTAATTCACCGCATAAGTATAGGTAAAAAAAAAAAATCAAATAAATTGACCCTTTTCCCCAAAAAATATAAAATGAGAGTCAAAAAGGGGATGTATAGGCATATAGCACATATCCACAAGAGGGGAAAAGGTCTTGGGATCGATAATGTGTGAAATCATTTCGTTATTACTTAGCTTTATCTTTCAGTCTGACCAAACAGTTTTATATATTAAGCTGTTAACATTGTGTGCACAGGTGTAGGGTTGTTTCACATCATCAAATGAATCTTAATTAATGAATTAATTAATTAATTTCTCCATCAGAAATTAATTTATATATTATAAAAGAAGACCAAGAAGATAAATAAATGAATGAATTAATTAATTAATAAATAGTGTGAAAGTAGGAATGTGTTTTAGTCTCACCAACTTTGCATTTGTAGCTAGAAATTCAACATTCTCAAACTAGTTGTTGGACATATATATACATACACTGTCTTTAGTAAACTATAGTGTCAAAAATAAATAATTAAATAAGGAGAGCCTTAGTTAAATTGATCAGATAATTTATTTATTGACTTTATTGGTTTGAGCTTGTCTCCCATGTACATAGTGGTTTGTCTTTTTGTGGTCATTTTCTGGTTAGAGTTACAAGGCGAATTTCATCCACTAATTTACCTTCTTGTAATATTTTGTTGGTTAGGATCATAAGACAAGTTTTACATCAAATGCATTTTAAAGTAGTGCTGCGAACTTTGTCGTAAATTAAAGAATAAATAAATAAATAACATATTAACAGAGTCAGGAGTATTCAAAAAATAATAATAATAAATTTGAGATTCAAGATTCGCAAGCTACGTTAGTTGGAGTTATTCTTTAATTAATCTTTGCATACTTTTATTATGGCTGAATAATCTAGACCGCAGTTCCTTTTTTCATTTTTTGAATGGATCGGAATATGTAATGGGTATCAAATTTTGCATTATTTAACGTTATTTGTAACAAGTATTGTTACTTTTATATTATTGATTAATTACTTGCAAATTGATTGATATGTCATTCATTAGTTAGCATAGTAAAGTTGTGGATCAGATATTACAAATTTAATAAATATATGGCCAAAATAACAATTTTAATTTCTTGATTGTTGACGTAAACGTTATTAACTTCTTCTTTTTTACAATATAGTAATTTTGGTCCATCTGTTTATAAAGTGTTAGTTTTGATGGCTTTTGTTTCTCGACATGTTAATGGAGACTTCCAATCGTTTAGAAGTGTAAATTAGAGTTTTTTCCCTTTATTGATTAATAGATTGCACACGTACAACGCAAAATGTGATAGAATTTAATGATTTCTGTTAGATAAGAATAAAAACGATTACCTTATAAAAAATTGAATGGTCAATAATACTTACTTACATAAACAATTAAATGCCCGAAAATACTATTTTTGTACAAAGAAAAGAAGTTAATAAAGATCTTATAAATATTTAGACCATTTCGAGCCGATAAGGTCAACGAAGAGGTGCAATTGTAAACCATTCAAGCAACAATACACACGTGAAGACCAAGAGAAAGAGAATCATCGTTACCCGTCATTCAATCTGCACACTTATTGACTTCCCACAGTTAATCGAGCAAAGTCCTTTAACAATATAGGAACAAAAACACTACTTTTCCAAATATATTTTACAAATATCAAAAAGTATAAATTGTTCAAAAAAAGAGAGTATAAATTGTTAGTTACAAAAATGTTAAATCTTTTTCCTTGCTCCGGGCATTTCTCATAGCTTGTACTAAAAATTCGGTTGTATTATTAACACTAACTGCCCAAACCTCTCTTTTTTGGCCTTTTATGGTTTTGTCCAACCTTGTGTCCCATGAGAAAAGCAAAAGTTATTTAAGAAAAAAAAAATAAAGCAAAATAAAAAAAGCAAAAAATAAAAGCAGCCTACTTAATTAAAAGCCCCTTGAAACCATTGAAAGAGTAACCAACCAAAAACCTTAGCTCATACCTAAAGCAAAGCCATATTTTCTCTTTATGTTCTCCCACCATTTTGCTCCTTTCATCCCAACACTACATAAAATGGAAGACCAATGTAGCCTTCTTAGCTGGCCTTACTTCTTCCAAGAAGAGGTGGTATATATCTTCTTACTCTCTTTTCGACGACCGATATTATTGATAAATTGTATTTCATTTTCTAAAAAATGCTGGTTATAAAGTGTTGAATTGTTAGCTGTTTGGCAGATTGCATTTAATTTTTTAAGAAATGCGGGTTATAAAGTGTTGAATTGCGAGTTTTGAAGTAATGTGTTTGATGAATTGTTGATAGGAAATTGAGTTGAAGCAATCATTGTTGTACACAACTTTGGAGTTGGAGAACACACTTCTTTGTGCCCAAGATGAGCTTGCCAAGAAGGATGAAGAGATTTTGCAGCTCAAGAATCTTTTGGGGAGGTTTGTGAAGGAGAGAGATGAGGCGGTGGCGAAATGCCGGCGGCTTGGGGTGGAGAAGCTATTGTTGCACCGGCAGCTCGGCGGCCGGCCGGAAAATATTGCCGCCGTAGAGAGTGGAGTCACCACGACCAACGAGGATCAAGAAAATGCTCTGCAGTCTAATTCCGAGGATTCCGAGGAGAATGCCCTTCCTGTTGTTTCCCCAAACAGGGCGTCGCCGCCGCCGGAAAACCCGCCGCCGCCGCATGCGGCGGCGGCGGCGGCGGACGTGACGGATAAGATCAGGCCTAAATTGCCCTTGCCGGAGAAGGGGAAGTTCTTGCAGGCAGTGATGGAGGCAGGGCCGTTGCTCCAAACACTTCTCCTAGCCGGACCGCTACCGCAGTGGCAACACCCACCGCCTCACCTCAACTCCGTCGACATTCCGCCGGTAACCATCTCCTCCTCCTCCGCCTCCACCACGCCGCGGCTGCTCCACCACGACTCCGCCGCCCTCAGCAAGAAGAGAGCCAGCGGCGACCCTTCATCTCCCTCCTCCTCCTCCAATCATTCCAAGTACCAAAAACTTGTCCATCAATCATCATTAGTGTGCCTAATTACATAATTAATATTGAAAAACCATGATAATGATTACCGGCCCCCGGCAGAGCTCTTTTTTCATAATTATTAGGATATAAAGATTGTACTACTAGCTAGTGGTTTGCCTTAGAAACTAAGCATCCTTAAACTAATCGTAGGAAAGACAATTAAGGAGAAACAAATTAACCTTAGGGAAGGCCTAATTATGAATGCCCTTTCAATTTGTTTCTCTTTCAAAGAATCCCACTAAAATGTGTGGATTTGCCATCTTTTTTTATTTTCATTTTTTTCTTAATCCCTACTTTAGTTACAAGTTGTGGGGTTTGGATATGATGGAGAGTTGATGTTTTTGGTAGTGATCTTATCCCCATATATTTTTTATATATGTGCGGGAACGAAGACTGAATTTGAGATATTTTTCATCAGTTAGAGTTATAGATTTATATCATTAGTTTATAAAATGGTGTTTAGCAATCTAGTCCCCGAAGTGGGTGCTTAGTTGTAATTTCTCCGAAATGGTGGGGAGTTTGTTTCAATATGTATACAAGTAAAAAATTAAGCTAGATTATGGTTGTTGTCTTTTGCTTTCATTTCTGCATAAAAATATTATGCAGGTGTATCTCTTGAGATATTATGGTTGTATGTAGACCTGCTATGGTCATGATTGAGAGGCTGATTTTTGTATTTTAATGTAACTAAAGTTTGTGCTCTTCATATGCTAATATGCCATTCCCCCCTTCTTTAGTCACTTTCATCTAAAGTGAAGTCAAGATTATCAATTTATTATCATAAGAAAATCCTATAATGTACGTTAAAAAGGCAATATATATAGTGTCTACCACTATAAATGAAAACAAAAAGTGTCATTTCACCCAAAAGTGGTGACCGAGTGAGTGGAGCATGATTCTATTACTAGAATGTTATGAGTCCGATTATTGTCAACACCTTTTCAGTCGAGCCTGTCGCACATAGGTCCTGTTTGGTAAAAAATTGGTCTATAGGCCAATTTTGGCATATTTGACCACTATTAATTGTTTGATTTAGTTAAAATATCAATATAAATGTTTGGTTAATTAACTTTTTGCAACTCCAAATGACTAAAATTCAAAAAGCTACTCCAAGCAACTTTTTCAATTAGTTTTTTGAGAAAAAAATTATACCAAACAGCTATCAACTAACAGCTAATTTACCAAACACTTTTCTACAATCAGCTAATATTATCAACTATTTATACCATCTAATTAACACAATCAGCTAACAGCTAACAACTTTCAGCTAACAGCCATTTTACCAAACAGGGTCATAGTCTTTCTGGAGTGCAGTTTACATCTTTTGTGTGGTTTGCAGGCTATATGTATGAGTAAGATTTACCCAATAGACATAGACACCCTCATGTAATGGTTACGAGTTTCTCTTGTCACCAAAAAAAAAAAAAAAAAGTGTCATTTGTGAGTAAAAATTTATATTTTATTTATAGGAAAGTCACTATTCCTCTTTATTTATAATAATAATAATGAATATTTAGAGTATTGATCGATATTAATATCTTTATACCATATAAATCACGTATATTATTTGGATTGTACTAGGTATTACAAGTTATACATGTTTTTAAACTACCCATGTACTTGTGTCCGGTGTAAACGACATTAGCGGTAATTAATATTAAAATTTTTTTTTAAAAAAAAAAAAGTTGTAGTAAAAACCAGATGGTAAAAAACATAATCACTTGAAGAAGCAAGTAATAGGAACTTAGATTCCAAATGATGCCACTTTTCATGAAGTGTGTACCTACCATGCACGGCCTGTCTGCCATTAAAGAGCATCAAATTAGCTACTTACTCTATATGCAGAAACTAAATGAAAATTTTGTATTAATAAAATGACAAGAGAGAATATATTATTGGAAGATATTTTTTGGCAAGGATGTAATTAGGTTAATAAAATATTATAGGGGTTAGGAAGTAGAAATGATTATATATTTATTTATTATTATTTTTTATGACGAGAGAAACTTCCCGCTGTTATTCAAGAATATGCATGGGGTTTGTAATAACTTACAAATCACTGAGAAGTATATCACACTAGGAAGATCTTATGTGACGGATTTAATCAAAAATGTAAGAATTGAACTTATTATGATTTTTAGGTATGGAAGTCGTGCTCAGCCCGCTCAATCACTATATAAGTGATAATTTTGGCTTTTGGGGTAGGAGGATGGGATGACATATTAGGGTTAGTTGAACTAGTTTGAAAATGTGGCAACAAAAACTTGAAGTTTTTGTATTGATAGGTGGAAACCAGGGAGAAGTGTTATTGTCAAATAATTTGAATTAGCTTATCCAATCTAAGGATCCAAAGAAGTCAATGAAAAAATAATTAGAAGTTACATTATATTTTATAATGCTACCTGCATGCACTAATTATTCCATGTCAAGTTTTATATCGTTTGATGTGGTTTCATTTAAATAGTTCGTATAATGATCGGTCAATTCTAAAAATGCCAACTCATATGAACGATAATTACATATATCGCAATTAGTTATGTAAAATTATATAAAATTTTGCTTCAAAAGAAAATTATATAAAATATAGTGCAAAAATAAGCAAAATGCAAATAACCGCAAATTATGCCATGGAATCGTGTTCACCGAGAATGGTGAACACAGGGCAAAACGACGTCGTTTTTAGGCAAAAAAAAAATAAATAAATAAATAAAAATAAAAATCGCGGATGTGGAGTTAACGGCGCGCGTTTGATCAAATTATGAATTTTCTGTTATGAGATTATGAATTTTATGAAAATTCATAATCTCATAACAGAAAATTCATAATCGCATAACAGAAAATTCATAATCTCACAACTGAAAATTCATAATCTCATAACAGAAAATTCATAATCTTATAACAGAAAATTCATAATCTCATGGTTCCAAAGTGAATGTGTAGGCATGGTTCCAAAGTGAATGTGCAGGCATGGATTCATAATTTATGAATGTCCGTGATTTCGGACGGGAATATGTAGGCATGGTTCCAAAGTGAATGTGCAGGCATGAATTCATAATTTATGAATGTCCGAAATTATGAATGTAATGAAAATTCATAATCTCATAACAGAAAATTCATAATCGCATAACAGAAAATTCATAATCTCATAACTGAAAATTTATAATCTCATAACAGAAAATTAATAATCTTATAACAGAAAATTCATAATCTCATGGTTCCAAAGTGAATGTGTAGGCATGGTTCCAAAGTGAATGTGCAGGCATGGATTCATAATTTATGAATGTCCATGATTTCGGACGGGAATGTGTAGGCATGGTTCCAAAGTGAATGTGCAGGCATGAATTCATAATTTATGAATGTCCGAAATCTTTGTTCACCTCAAATTAAAGTGAAACCGCAAAATGTGAAAATAAAGAAGAAAAGTCACACAATTAATTTAAAATAAAAAATAAAAAAAAATAATGGTGTACTAACACCGTTGGAACCGTGTTCACCATGAATGGTGAACACGGTTCCATGGCATAACGTCCCGCAAATAACATCTCGAGATAACAAAACAGATTTTCGCTTTAATTTTCTCCAATTTAACACGTAAGTTGTTTATCTAGTGCGTGGCCCAGCCCAAGATCGTGGTGCGTATGGGCTAGGAATAGTTTATTCCTATAAATTCGGCCCATACTTGGATCCATCAATAGTTATGCTGTGCAACCGAATGTACCATGAGCATGGTGCATACGGTTCAAAATGACGTCGTTTTGATTAAAAACGCGCGTCCTACTTTAAAAAAAAAAAAAAATCAGGTTCGACTCTCACCAATAGCATTATTGTGGATATATAGTTATGAAATTGTGGATATATAGTTATGAAATTGTGGTTATATAGTTATGAATTTATGGATATTTAGTTCATTCATTGTGGATATTTAGTTCAATCATATATTGTGGATATTTAGTTCATTCATTGTGGATTTTTACTTCATTCATTCATTCATTGTGGATTTTTACTTCATTCATTCACTGTGAATATATAGTTATGAAATTGTGGATATATAGTTATGAAATTGTGGTTATATAGTTATGAATTTATGGATATTTAGTTCATTGTGGATATTTAGTTCAATCATATATTGTGGATATTTAGTTCATTCATTGTGGATTTTTACTTCATTCATTCATTCATTGTGGATTTTTACTTCATTCATTCACTGTGGATATATAGTTATGAAATTGTGGTTATATAGTTATGAAATTGTGGTTATATAGTTATGAATTTCTGGATATATAAAAATGCTATTGCCGGGAATCGAACCTGATTTCTTCTTTAAGTGGGACGCGCGTTTTTTTAACCAAAACGGCGCCGTTTTGCAACCGTATGCACCTTGCAAGGTGCATTCGGTTGCACAGCATAATTTGCGTGGATCCATTAAGGATGTGAATTGGATCATATAATTAAAGAGAAAATTTCACTTTATTAATTTATTGTAAATTCTTTCGATAAAATTTAAATGTTTTTTTTTTAATCTTTATTAATGGTGTAATAATTAAAATTGGAATGATTAATTCATTTAATTGTGATACACAAATAAAAATCAAGAATTTAATTATATAAAATTAAATATAATAATATTAGATGATTATATGTGAAATTTGTCCATATAAAAATACGAGTTGAATTATTATTGCTTAATAATTAAATCTGAAAGTCTCATTATTATATTATTTTAAAGAAAGGGTATACCTACATATACAAGCTACTACATCAAATGTCATCACCAAAGTTTGAACTCACCACCTCCCACATAAGGGAGCAACTTTGTACGGCAAATTATGCCCTGGAAACGTGTTCACCGTGAACGGTGAACACAAGGCCAAATCGACGTCGTTTTTAGGCCAAAAAAAAAAAAAAAAAAATCGCAGATGTGGCGCGCGTTGATCAAATTACGAATTTTCTGTTATGAGATTATGAATTTTCATAAAATTCATAATCTCATAACAGAAAATTCATAATCGCATAACAGAAAATTCATAATCGCATAACAGAAAATTCATAATCTCATAACAGAAAATTCATAATCTCATAACTGAAAATTCATAATCTCATGGTCCAAAGTGAATGTGTAGGCATGGTTCCAAAGTGAATGTGCAGGCATGGATTCATAATTTATGAATGTCCGTGATTTCGGACGCGTTATGCCATGGAACCGTGTTCGCCGCCATTCATGGTGAACACGGTTCCAACGGTGTTAGTACACCGTTATCTTATCTTTTTTTTTTTTTTTTTTTTTTTTTTTTTTTTTTAATTGCGTGACTTTTCTTCTTCATTTTCACATTTTGCGGTTATGGACCACAATGTCCTTAGTCAAGTGTCATTATTATCAACAACTAAATTTGAAATAATTTTATTAAAAATATAAAAAATTTTGAGATCAAGCTACTTGGTACCATCTAGGGGTGGGAATAGGCCAGGCCCCTCCGTAGGGGCCTAAGGCCTGGCCTATTTAAGGCCTACATAGGCCTGATTTGTTTAGTAAAAAGGTCAGGCTTGGGTTCATTTTGAAGCCTATTAAACTAAACAGGCTAGACATATTTATACCAGGCTTGACTTCAAGCCTAGCCTATTTACAGACATATACATAATTTATTTGTAATATTAAGTTAGTATATATATTCTATTTTATATCTAATATAATTTTTATATTTACAATATAATTCCAAGTATATATAATTATCAAACCCTAACCCTCCACCTCCAAAATCGCATTCTAAATTCTGATTCAACTATAAACATTGTTGTTAATCCTATTATAAGTGTTCTTATTGTTTAATTGTTCTTACTGATTGTTAACTATAAGTTAACAAGCATGTTGAGGTTGTGACTTGTTTTATTTTATTTTATATATGTTTTAATACTATTATGTTTGCACTGTGGCGATATACTTATGTAGTTATATATTACTTTTGTATTAGCTAGGTATATTTCTTAAATTATTTAGAAATACTTATTAAAGTTTTAAAAAAGACTTAATATGTAGTTTTTCTAGAGTTCGAACCTGAAACCTCTCACTTAAAAAGCCACAACTATACCGCTCGACCACAAAACCTTTAACATTATATACTATATATATAATTATGTTATATGATTGAGTTAATTCTACTAGAGGTCATTTGTCTTTGGTGGTAATTTCAAATTTAGTCTCAAACTATCGTTTTTGTCATTTAACATCCCATACTATTATTTTTTGGACACTTTTAGTTATTCTCATGACTTTTCCTATTTTTAGTAAGGACATTTTTGTCTCTTCATATTTTTCTGATTTCAACCGGTTTAATTGATTTATGACTTTACTAACAACCGGTTTAAAAATATTGTTACTAAAAATCATAGGTTCCCTAAAGTCCTAAACCAATTAAACCGGTTGAGACCGAAAAAAAAAAAGAAGAATATGAAAAGACAAAAATGACCTTACTAAAAATATAAAAATGACTAAAAGTGTCCAAAAAAATAATAGTCTGGGATGTTAAATGACAAAAACGATAGTTGAGACTAAATTTGGAATTGTCACTAAAGACAAAGGACCTCTGGTGGAATTAACTCTATATGATTTATTATTAGTAATATTTAATACTCCATCTTTATATCTTATCTGTCATACTTATTATTAATTGATCAAATCAACTATTTTTCTTCCTTGTTTATTTCTATTAGCATTTTCTTAAAAATTTTAAATTTGATTTTTTTTTTTGTTTTTTTTTTTAAAGTACTACTGACCTTATTATTATTTTTTTTGTGTGTTAATAATACTTTTACTATAGTTTCTAAATATATAAAGTTTACATACTAATTATAAACTTAATATTATGAAAATTTAAATTATAAAAAACTTCTACTCGTTAACTGAACCCTAGACATAAAATATGACAAAAGAAGTACAGTCTAAACAACATATATAATTACAGTTGATGTTAATCCACTTATCCACCTATATCACCTAAGAACCAATTAAGTTGCTCATGTGAGCAAAATAAGTAACTTATCAACCATAACTTCTTGCTCAGAATTAATTGCAAGGTAGTTTATCCGACATTCGTGGCCAAAATACAAATTTGTCTATAATTCGGGGGTGGTAAGTGGAATTTTAGAAGCCCACAGCCTTCAAATTCCAGAAAACGGAAATTCTGAAATCTGTAACCACCGTCCACCGCCACGTAAAAAGGCTCTGAAAAGAGTGAGCTGAGGAGGAGCGAGTTGGACTCAGTAACTGTTTTAATAACTGTTTATTCAAATGTCAGTTTCTTTTCCATCCACTCTCTGTTATGCTATTTCCGCTCCCGCCGGCGCCGATTTCACCCGCCTCCGTGTCCCAACTCGGTTATCGAAGCAGCATCCGATTTCCTTGACTCGGCGTCGACTCGGTGCCGACGCCATTCTCAAATTCAGGAAGCCTCGTAGGCTGCTTTCTCTGTGCTGCTCGACGATGCCTCTCGAGGGAGTCGCTACGACTTCCTTGCCTTCCGAGGTAGGTAAAGGAATATGTCAGCATGTTATTTGTTTTTTATTTTAGCAATCAAATTTCGTATTGTATTCTTCTGATCTATTTTATTTATCGTGAACGTTGCGATTAACGACAATGTAAATATGTAATCCCATTGTTTAAGGTTTTAACATTTTAAAAGTTATGGTATCTCACGAGCAAATGCACTCTAATGATGAAATTTGTCAGTTGCAGAGTATCTTGTTGTACTCCAGAGCGTTTTGGGTCAGCAGATCAATAATTGCTTGGAATGTGGACGTTGAGGATGGTGCATGCTATTTGTATGCTAGCAGAGATGCTAAATTATCAGTCACTGATGATGAAATCCGAGGTGTACAGTCTGTTGATACTGCCTCCTCTATCTTATGAAACGTGTTGTAGCTCAAGTTTGATGTTTCTGTACATAACAGGATATGATGTTAAAATTAAGCTTGAAGGAGGAGAAGACAGGCTTCCGCAATATGTGAGATGTCATCCATTGTAGAGGCGTATATGGTGGAAACATTTCTTTATTATTCATTGTGGATGAGTTTTGTGATTAGTGCCTGGTTATCTCATCTTTTAGATTTCTCCCATGCTGTTCACTAATGTCTTTTCCTGATTCTAGGTAACTAAAAAATTTCCTCATATTCAAAATTATAAAGCATTCAAAGTCCCTCAAGGTATGGATTGTGAAAGTCTACTGAAACGCCAATTGGCTGTTGCTATCTTCACCAGTAAGCACTAAAAACCATTTATTTCCACTTATTTTATTTGCATCTTTGTCTACTTCCTTGATTTGTGACAAATTGTACTGATGTAGCTGATGGAAAATGCAAGAGTGCTACTGGGTTGCAGCTACCTGGTATCCTTGATGAATTGTTCTCTTACAGTGGGCCACTTGGTGCTGTTTTTTCAAATGAAACTATCTCTCTTTACCTCTGGGCACCTACTGCAACAGTATATGCTATTTCTTTACTGTACTTTTATCACCGTCTATTACTTTTTGGCCCTGCTTTACCCCTGATACGTGTGAGCCAAAGCAGGTTGTGCGCGCTTTCATTTATACGGACCCATTGGGTGGTGAAGCCTTTGAAATAGTTGAGCTCAAGGAGATAGATGGTGTTTGGACTGTTACAGTCCCAAGGCATTGGGAGGGTTATTACTATACATATGAAGTGTCTGTCTATCATCCGACCACCTTGCAGATTGAGAAATTCTTAACCTGTGATCCATACTCAAGAGGGTATATCTGTCTCTTTGTCTGCTGACTGTATTAACTATATACATTATAGCACTATTGATCAAATTTTTTATACTGTGTCTTTGTCTGCACAGTCTTTCTGCCAATGGCAAGCGAACGTTGTTTGTTGATCTTGATTGTGATAATTTAAAGCCTGAAGGATGGGATAGTCTGGGGAATGAGAAACCAAATCTGCTTTCCATGTCTGATATCAGTATATATGAGCTGCACATAAGAGATTTCAGGTCAATATCATTTAATTAAGAAACTCTTTTCTGGAAGTCATTTAAAAAGTGTAAGGACAAGTTGAACCTTTTCTGAAGGAGTTCTTCTTATGGAGAGGTTTTTCTATAATTGCTTAAAACTACTATACTAGGTAATGATAATGTGTTAGAAACTAATCATAAGTGTGATGTATCCTACTTGCCATACAATTTTTATCCTTTGCTCCTTCAACGTGTATACATATGAGCCTTCTTAGAAAATACGGAGTAGCTTTTTAAGTAGCTTATGCTTATCTTGCTAAGCCACAAAATTTATCTCAAAATATAATTACTTTCCTCTTCTTTTATATGCAGTGCCAATGATCATACTGTACATCCTGATTTTCGTGGGGGTTATCTTGCCTTCACTTTGCAGGTATTTCTTTTTTCATGCAAACTCTTGCCAAATATGCAAACTATTACTGTATTGTAGATTATATTTTTTGGGGGCCAATTTCCCAACTTTTGTACTACAAATGTGCTAGATTATTCCATTCTTCTGATCATCAAACATTATTGTTAATAACTTGCAACTATATTGAAGGACTCAGCTGGTGTCCTTCATCTTAAGAGATTGTCCAGTGCTGGTCTCACTCATATCCATCTGCTTCCAACCTTTCATTTTGCTGATGTTGATGATGAAAAGCATAAATGGAAGCACGCAGGTAAAGAGCCATTTTTATTTTGTTTATGGACTTGAATGTCGGTCTCTTTGAAGTAAGGTTCTTTGTCTGCATGCATACATGCAAGTTTTACAAATTAAAAAGAACTCAGATGGTGCATTAGTGTCATAGAAACACTAGGCCTAGACTCTCATCATAGTCAAAGGATTATTGGTATCCCACTGGCTACAATCACAGCAAAGCACTTAAATAGCTTCCTATTCTAATATATCTTTTGTTATGTCCAACTTGGTTATTGAAATTCCCTTTCTCATTGTGGTGCAGTGCTTTTGGTAGTTTCATGAAATTTTCTGTTTCTTGATTTCTTTGGGCATGAAACCCTCCCTTTATCAGATACGGAGAAGCTGAAATCTTTTCCACCAGATTCAGATGAGCAACAAGCTATTATCACAGCCATCCAAAATGAAGATGGGTATAATTGGGGGTAAGTTATTGATATCCAATCTTGCTTATGATTATTCTGTACATAGCTTTTAATCATTCATTTGCTGACTTTTGTTGTGGAAATTTTTTTTTTAATGTCCGTTGTCTAAAAAAGATATAATCCTGTTCTATGGGGTGTACCAAAGGGAAGCTATGCTAGTAACCCAAATGGTCCAAGCCGCATCATCGAGTTCCGCAAGATGGTGCAGGTAAATCTTGTTTTTCCTATTTGCTTAAGGACCAAAAATTGCATGCCCCAAGTGTCCAAAGTCTGGATAAAGAAGATATGCTCATATGCAACAGAATTTTTATTTTTATAAACCTTTTTGCTGTTTAAGCATTTTTTTTTTTTTTTAATTTGCAGGCACTTAACCACATTGGCCTCCGGGTTGTACTTGATGTTGTTTACAATCATTTACATGCAAGTGGCTGTCATGATCAGAACTCTGTTCTGGACAAGGTGCTGACTTAGTTTGTAGGTTCCACCTTTTTGTGCATCCTCTGCTTTTGAATTTTAGTAAATTATGTGGTCTAGTTCTTTTGCTTTAAATTGCTCAATGTCACCTGCAGATTGTTCCAGGTTACTATCTGAGAAGGAATACTGATGGCTGTATTGAGAACAGCACCTGCGTAAACAATACAGCCAGTGAGCATTTCATGGTTGAACGCTTAATTGTTGATGATCTTATGTGCTGGGCTGTTCATTATAAGGTGATACTTTTTTCCCACCATAGATGAAACTTGAAACTGTTGTATCTGTTGTAAAATAAACTGAGAATGAACATAGTCTGATGAATGATTTAAGTTTACGCCTATGTGAAATTGTTCTAGATTTCTATATTACCTTTTAAGATAATAATTGTGTTCTACTGAAGATTTTTAGATATAATAAAAGGGAGGAAGCGAAAAACCACATGCCACATATGACATACCAACAGAGTACCATTTGACCAATGCTGTCTCCCCCCCTACAGGGGCACAAGCCTCACTGCATACCCTATTTGGTTTTGAATATGAGATTGTACAGGACTCAACTTAAGAATACAAATTTGCTTGTAATTGATGCAACTTAATTTAGCAGAACAGAGCACTCTTAGTAGTTAGTACTTAGTACCCGTTGAATAACAGATATGTCCGGCAAATGAAACTATGAAGTTTATTTTGGATTTCTAGATTCCACGATGCTTCAATCTTAAGGAGGGGAACAACAAAACTGATAATGTCTGCTTACAAATGTGAAAGGTTGTAAGCTGTAGAGAACAGTGCATATCACGATAATGCCTAGGGGTATACATCTCTATGCAGTATAGATATATCCATGAAGGACTAATATGGAATTTTCTAAATAATTGCATCAATTTAGCATTTCATACTAGTGTCTATCAAACCAGTTTGTATGTGTCATCTCATGATTTCACTACAAACTTAAGATCTCATCTCTCTCTTGGGAACCTATTATAAGGATTCTTTGTCAATGAATGTCATTGCAGCTTGTGGTGAACTTCAAATATTAATTCTTTCTTAACCATGCTTTTTGGCAGGTTGATGGATTTCGATTTGACCTTATGGGTCATATAATGAAAAAGACCATGGTATGATTTGCCTTTTAATTTTCAAGTGTTCAATAATAACATATTACTCTAGTTCCAATTTAAATTTATAAAATAAAAATTTAAAGTGGATTAATGTTCTTTCTTTGAATTTGAGTAGAAATTGAAATTTGTTGCATAAGCACAACATTTGTTTATGTCAATGTCGTAGAAACTGAAAATGTACTATGCAAAAGTCCTTAATGGAGCGCTAGTATGACAGTGAAAATTGGTCTAGGCATTATGGACATGAAACCATCACGGACACTGATCAAGACAGAAAATAATCTTTGAAAATTCGACTGAAAGTGACAAATATTTTAAGAATTTTTCCTTATTCTCACTGTTTCCCTTTATTTATTATTATTATTATTTTTTATGTTGCCAAGCCTTAAGGAAGTTTAATTTTATAACTGGATGTATGTTTTCTACTTCACGTAAAATCACTGTAATAATATATTACCTTTAACCAAAACCTTGCAAAGAGTAACCCTAATGATGTGAAACAAGTTATTCGTGTCGGTTGCAGGTGAAAGCAAAGTCACTGCTCCAAAGCTTATCTAAGGAGGAGAGTGGAGTAGATGGTTCAAAAATTTTCATGTAAAGATGATTGCGTTTAATAGTTTACTACTGTTTGACTTTTTACTAATGGTTAGGAGGATGATTTCTAGTTTAATTATTTCCCTATGCCTTACATCTCTACCAATATTTGGCTCTCTACAAGAAGACAATTCTCATATCCTCTTTTCTTTATTTTTTGTATCTAGCTTGCTTACTGGTTGAAATTGATCTTTCAGATATGGGGAAGGGTGGGATTTTGGTGAAGTGGCAAACAATGGGCGTGGGGTTAATGCATCACAGTTTAACCTTTATGGAACAGGAATTGGAAGGTGCTACTTCTTATTTTATATATATATAAAACTTGTCAGTTCTGTTTGGTTCTCTTTTTTTTCCAGGGAGAGAGAGAAAAAAAAAAAAAGTTACGCCATACTAAGCTTTCAGTGACGAACACTGTACACAATTTAGTTACTCCCATTTGGTTGTCTTAGTCTTTGTGACTAAGTGGTTCCTATGATGTCACTTATACCATGTCATACTCTGTATTTTTCCCTACTTATGATGCATGTTAATCCATGTAAGCCTTAAGTTTAAAAAGAATAATGAATTGTTTATGATGTGAACGGGGGTTCAGGAGCATTCCTTACTTCATACGTTACATGTTGTGTTCACTTTTAGATATTGAATTTTTTGCAAAGAACTTTTTTCCAAGTATATGATGGAGCATCTGGTCTTGACACTTATCAAATGTTACCAGCTTCAATGATCGAATTCGGGATGCATTACTTGGTGGATCCCCATTTGGTCACCCTCTGCAACAAGGTTTTGCTACTGGTTTGTTTCTGGAGGTAATATAGTTTTAAAGTCTTCAAAGATGATGTTTATAAAAACTTATGGACTTGAACCAGATTTTTCTTGCAATCACTTTCAGCCTAATGATCATGATCATGGTGGTAAAACTGCTTCTGAGCATACCCTTACTGTACTAAAGGATCACATTCAGGTTTCTAACCTCACTCTCATTCCAAATGTTTCCGATATCTTTATATGATGTTTGAGCCTTAATCCATTACTGATGTGTTGGCACTTGGCGTGCATAAGATCCCAAATTACTAATCTCTGAATTCTAAATTTTAATTGTTTTCTCTAGTTTTCCACACTTCATCTGAAGAGCTAGTTTATTTCAGGTGGGAATGGCTGGGAACTTAAAGGATTTTGTACTAGTAAACCATGATGGAGAAGAGGTATTCATTCATGGAATAATTGAATTTGTCAATCTGTTGTTCCCTGTTTAATACTTCGTAGAAAATTTTGATGCAGAAAGATTTTGCGTTAATCCCTTGTGGAATGCAAGTATTCTACTTAAAAACCATTAACAAAAAAGTTTCTTCCTCGACTTTGTTACACAAGAAATCATTTCAATAGAGTAACAAGCCATTAATTGGTTTTGATAAACAAACATTCATTTCAATAAAGACCAGCTATTGGAAAGTTCTCTCTTCTTCTTCTTCTTCTTTTCACCTTAAAGGACAGGACTTTGCCCAATCCTTTTGGCTTACGAAGGGCTTTTTTCTTCAAGTTAAAATGTTTGCTTAACTTACTTCGATATGGGATTCAATTGTGTCCCATTTTCGTGAAGATCTAAAAGGTGATCGTGCTTGTTTTACATTTTACTCACATGAGAGCATCAGTTAGGTGATTCTCATGACACAGATTTCTGCGGTGAATTGTGTTGACAGTATTCGTGTAATGGAGCTGACAGTGCTATTTGATTAAGTTTTATCCATTTTGCGTAGGTTAAAGGATCTGAAATTCTAAGTCACGATGGCAAGTCTATTGCATATACTTCTTGCCCTATCGAAACTGTAAGTAATTTGCTTGCATTTTTTTGGTTCAGAAAGAATATTGATCTCTTTCCTCTCAACTCTATATAATCTGTGTTTACCACAAATGATTAATAGTCCTGATTACTTCTGTTATATCTTCAGAACTTATTATCCATCTTGGCAACTTTGGTTCCTTGCAGATTAACTATGTGTCTGCTCATGACAATGAAACTCTTTTTGACATCGTTAGTTTGAAGGTATCTATAAAAGACATGTCTTGGTTATCCTAGGAGTTTGTCTCAACCTTACACTTATTTTATTGCCATTGCTTGAATAGACTTCAATGGATATTTCTGTAGAGGAGAGATGCAGGATGAACCATTTGGCAACCAGTGTGATAGCCCTTTCCCAGGTCAGAAGTGTAGCACTTAAATACATGTACCCTCTAAATGCACTGAATTATCTCCAGAATAGTTCAATAAACCAGAAAACTCTATGTTGTGGGAACTGGTAACTTATCTTTTTACAGTTGGCTCTGTGTCTAAGTGCTAATTCTCTTGTTGCTTTCACAGGGAATACCTTTTTTCCACTCTGGTGATGAGATTCTGCGATCAAAATCACTTGACCGTGATTCATATAACTCTGGTGATTGGTTCAACAGGTTATAATTAATTTGTTGTATCAAGTGGTTCTCATGGTTGTGGTAATTAGTATTTACAATAAATTCTTGTTTTTTTACTCATCTTTTCTAATACTCAAGAAAATGCTCCTCATTAAATTTCAGGCTGGACTTCAGCTACAATTCTAACAACTGGGGTGTTGGTCTACCCCCAAAAGAGAAAAATGAGAGGAGCTGGCCACTGTTAGTTTGTTTGGTTGAATTCGACACATAAAGTTCTTGATGATTTCTGTCTTGTACTTGTATATATGTTCCTAACTTTGACAAGATTTTTGTCTTCTAATTCAGAATAAAACCTAGATTGGCTGATCCCACTTTCAAGCCTCAGAAGAGTCACATCATTGCTGCTGTTGAAAACTTTTGTAATCTTTTACAAATCAGGTACTCCTCACCGCTTTTTCGTCTGGGCACGGCAAATGCTATTCAGGTAAGAAGTGTGGATTTAATTCTTACAACGTTTAATCTTATTTTTAAAGCAAGATTTTAGAGATGAAATCTTAGTTCTGAGACACAATTTCATTTCTTTTTATTATTTTGATAAGCAAATCTGACTCCTAAATTAACATCTGATTCTCAGGAAAGGGTACGATTTCACAATGTTGGTCCATCATTGGTTCCAGGTGTCATAGTAATGAGCCTTGAAGATGGCTATGAGGGATTTCCAGGGCTTACTCAACTGGATCCAAAGTTCGTAATCTCCTGTTTCTTTCCTACTTTGCTAAATTATATTGGATGGTAGAATAATATTATTGGATGGTATTTTGTGATTGGTCACAACAGATATTCATATATAGTCGTCGTAATCAATCCAAGCCCAACCGAAGTCTCATTTACCAGCCCTGCACTATGTGCAAAATCTCTTCAGCTGCATCCAGTACAGGTATGCTGTATTATAGTACTGAATAGGTTATATGCATATACAAAGGGTCATTATAGTAAGGAAATTTTAGCAGAATACTCTCTTTTCTGCATTACTTTCAATAGTGCTACAAACCCAAACATACAATCTTGTGTTCTCCAGATGAACTCGAACGATGCTACTGGCAAGAATTCAACATACGACGCTTCTGGTTGCTTCAAAGTACCGGCCAGGACAACAGCTGTCTTTGTTGAACCTCGAAAGAGTTGAGTGCATCATTGTGCAACACAACACTTAAAGAGTTTAAACCGATATGGTTAGATTTATGATGATTGTATAAATTTTAGTCAAAATTTTACATACAAATAATCCTTGATGTGATAAAGACACAAGGGTGAAAGTGTAGCAAACAACATAAGCTTAATAATGAAATGTACACAAAATTTTAAATACAATTGTTTCCTTTTCCTCTTCACAATCAATTGCATTAATTCAAAAAATATCAATCAAGATTCAAGAACAACAGCTGCTCTTATTATATTGCTGTGCCTGGCAGTCTTGTTTCTCTTTCGAAATATGGTTCTTCACAACTGCAGATCCTTTCTCCAACAGACTTGGTACCTCCAATATCTGTAAGTAAGCTATATAAGATTGCAGACATTTCTGAAAACAAAGTTGTGTGCTACACATTACACACACCATTTTTGTTGGTGTATAGATATGATATCTCACCACTATTAAGACTAATATGAATTCAATTCAGATCATACCCGCAGAATTTTACTCTTTAAGACTAATATAAATTTGATTCAGGTTATACCCGCAGAATTTGACTCATTAAGGAGGACAACTTGCAGGTATTTCATGTTTATTCAAAAATCATGGGACCAGAAAAAGGGTCTTCATGAATCTACCTTGAGACTAAGCTCTTGAAAACACTGCTGCACATTTAAGCTAGTTTTAGCACTGCATTCATAAAAGATACACTTGTGCTCCCGCGCAAATGCCATTCCTTCCGATGTAGCTACAACCCTTTCATCATCCTGAGAATAAGATCACCAGTCAAAAGAAGACATACAACAAGAATAAACCACAGAATCTGAGCAGTACTCACTCACCCTGTCTACTTTGTTTGCAACCAGTATCTTGATACAATCCTGATTCGTGGAGTACCGTTCTATCTCCTTCGCCCATATTTTGGTTAAGTTGGCAAACGTCTCTGGCCTTGTCACATCATACACTACAACCAAAAGATGATTGCCATTTGGCTTCAAAAGAAGAAAACTCGGGGACTTTGACAAAAGAAGATTTGAGTTGCAGGTAGCAGAAGATACCGAGTATGATTCCATGAGCCCCTCTGTAATAAGAGCTTATTAATGTCCCAAATCTCTCCTGCCCAGCTGCATTTACAAGTAAATCTTCATGCTCCGTTTAACTTAATAGCGAAACTATACATTATATGATGTGTGAGGATTGATACCTGTATCCCAAATTGTGAACTTCACTCTTTTGTCACCAACATTTAGCAGCCTGATCTTGAAGTCCACACCTGATCGAGAGGAACATGATGTTCAGAAGAACATATGTGAAGTGGGAAGTATATTACATTACTCTGTACACTGTACTTATGAAGAGTGATGAAGAAGAGGAGCATACCGATGGTGGGAGGGAGATGGTGAGAGAAATAGGGATGAGAGATGAAGCTGAGAAGAAGGCTACTCTTGCCGACACCTGAATCTCCAATCAGCAGAATCTTGAATGAATATTCATATCTGCTGCTGCTGAATCCACTCTCTTTTCTTGTCCCCATGATCACTTCCTCCTTCTTCCTTAATTCCGCATAACTTTTATTCCCTCCGCCAGGCACCTCGGTTTCCTCGAAAGTAGAGAGAAAACAAGAGAAGATCCGAAGACCAAGTGCAACTATGCAAGGTTAACAGTGAAGAGTTTTTTAAAAGATTTTGGTGGGAATTTTTAGTTTCGAAAAACCGTAGGGTGTCTTGTCGTTGGGACGGTCGTGCCGCTTCGTCATCGTAAACGCAGGCGGAAGCTGCCACCCCGCGGCCCGCGGGGTGCATTTGTTCCCTTTCCTCCTCCGCCTTTTCTTGGATCGGCTATTTTTGGCAGGCGGCGATTTCAAATTTGATGACAAATTTTTTAATTTTTTGGACTTTATTTTGAAATTTTAATAATATTTAGAAAAAAGTTAAATAAGTCATTAAACTTTTACTCATGCAATTAGACCAGCAAACAAAACAAAAAAAAATGTGTAATTGAATTATCTATCTCTATAAATTTGTGCAAATAACATTTATAGCAGGTAGAACTACTTAAAATTTTTTTTTCTTTAATCTAATGAGGACGGAGGAGGCAGCCTCCTTCTCTGTGCAAGGCGTCTACAAACGAAGGAGAGAGTAGCCTCCTCTGTTCCCATCCAGATTGTCAATGACGGAGGAGGTGCAACCATGCCTCTTCCTTTGTCAACTTTGATGGACGAGGAGGCAGTTGACGCTGTCAAAACGGGTCGATCAAAGCCCGTCAAAGTTTGTCGGTCCGCTATGGGCAGACAAAAAAAGTTCGCTCTTTGGCGGGCTAGGTTTTGCTGGCCTACGGGTTAGGCGGGCACCTGCCACCAAACTTTTTTTTTTTCCCTTATTCTAAAGTTGTTAGTTTGTTATTTTGTTAAGTTTTACCATTTGTACACTATACAAATAAAGTGTTACTTTGCCGGACAAAAAAAAATCCACTCTTTGACGTGTCTCTATTTTTGAAACTCACACCTTACCTAAACAGGGGCGAGGTTGACCGCCCCGACTGACAAAGTCAATTTTGACGGCTCTAGGAGCTTCCACCTACTCCATAAAAATCTAAGGAGGCCTCCTCCTCCCTTGATTATTATTTGTAAAGAGAAATATGGGATACGGAAGAGGTCCTCCTCCATTCATAGATATAGTAGAGCCAGCCTTGCCTCCTCCTTTGATGAAAGAGGAGGTGGTTGTTTCTTGTAACTTAGCGGAGGAGGGTAGCAACCTCACCTTTTTTTAAAAAAATTATTTTTTATGTTATTAATATATTAAATTTATCAAGAAATTAAAAACACAATTATTTTATTTTCTAGGTAAAATGTCATAAGAAAATGTAACCGGAAACATGTAGTCTACCTATAAAGATTGTGAATTGCACACTTTTTATAACATTAAATGATTCAACTGTACCTTGTGCCCAGATGGCATGTAGTGACATTATCTCCTATGTGGGGATCATGAGATTGAATTTGAGTGGATGTGTTATTGACTCTCTGTGCTTCATTAAGTTAAGAAAATATGTTTAAACGCATACTACAATGTAATATAATCAAATATTTATAACCTTATTATCAAAGTATCTTTTTTTTATTAGGAATTTAAATACTCACTATCTGCCAAATATGATTATCGTGATGTTATTATGCTACGTGATTTTTCTAGCTTTTTCATTGCATGAGACATGCAATATTTTTAAGCGAAAATATAATATTCTTCGGATTAATGAGTATCACATTCTCACTAGCTAGTATTTTTAAAAAATAATAATAAATACTTAGTAAAAATATAGTACGGAGTAATAGTTAATGACATATAAAAAATCATAAAGTATATATATTTGAGATTCATTTTGCACAAGTTTTTATGACATTAGCATTTGATAAAAAAATTTAACCAATTAAGTTTTCCTCGACTATAGCTAAATTCACAAATTGGTCATCAACTTTCAATTTCACCCAATTAAGTCCTTAACTTTGTAATTTTGACACGATTTGGTCCTCAATCTAATTGACCGTTTGTTGACCGTGATCGACGATCTCCAGAAGAACCTTCAGCTCTCGTCGGGGCACGTGGAGGCCTCCAGGATGACGTTGCACCGGTTCAGAAACACGTCGTCTTCTTCGCTCTGGTACGAATTCAAAGGGAGGATGAAGAAGGTGTCCAGGTTTGGTAGATTGATTTCGACAGTGGATTCAAATGTAACAGTGCGGTCTGGAAATGCAACCGGAACCTTAAAAAACTGACGATGGACCATGAAATTACATATATATCCTCAAAAATCACAGTCAACAAACGATCAAATAGACAGAGGACCAAATTGTGTTAAAATTACAAAGTTAAGGACTTAAATGGGTGAAATTGAAAGTTGAAGACCAATTTATGAATTTAGCTATAGTCGAGGGACCATTTTAGGTATTTACTCTATATTTATCTACATTCATGTATTCTCACTGTAACAGCACGTTAGCCCAATGGATCTTGTTTGACCGTAAATAGACACTGTAACGTCAGATTAGCCCAACCCATTTGACCCGGCCCATTTGACAAACATGAGTACGATAATGTCGTCCCAAGGCCAGTTCTTACAGACGTTATGCCATGGAACCGTGTTCACCATTCATGGTGAACACGGTTCCAACGGTGTTAGTACACTGTTATCTTCTTCTTTTTCTTCTTTTTTTTTTTTTTTTAATTAATTGCGTGACTTTTCTTCTTTATTTTCACATTTTGCGGTTTCACTTTAATTTGAGGTGAACAAAGATTTCGGACATTCATAAATTATGAATTCATGCCTGCACATTCACTTTGGAACCATGCCTACACATTCCCGTCCGAAATCACGGACATTCATAAATTATGAATCCATGCCTGCACATTCACTTTGGAACCATGCCTACACATTCACTTTGGAACCATGAGATTATGAATTTTCTGTTATAAGATTATGAATTTTCTGTTATGAGATTATGAATTTTCAGTTATGAGATTATGAATTTTCTGTTATGCGATTATGAATTTTCTGTTATGAGATTATGAATTTTCATTACATTCATAATTTTGGACATTCATAAATTATGAATTCATGCATGCGCATTCACTTTGGAACCATGCCTACATATTCCCGTCCGAAATCACGGACATTCATAAATTATGAATCCATGCCTGCACATTCACTTTGGAACCATGCCTACACATTCACTTTGGAACCATGAGATTATGAATTTTATGTTATGAGATTATGAATTTTCAGTTGTGAGATTATGAATTTTCTGTTATGCGATTATGAATTTTCTGTTATGAGATTATGAATTTTCATAAAATTTCTCATAACAGAAAATTCATAATTTGATCAAACGCGCGCCGTTAACTCCACATCCGCGAATTTTTTTTTTTTTTTTTTTGCCTAAAAACGACGTCGTTTTGCCTTGTGTTCATCATTCTCGGTGAACACGATTCCATGGCATAATTTGCGCAGTTCTTAACGGCAAGAGGTATGTGCGTCGGGAAGATATTTTGTGGAAGTGGCGGAGGCGATTTGCATTCGTGAAGTCCTTAGTTGGTTAAAGGGGACTGGCATAGGGGATGTTGATGTTTGAACTGATTCTCAAGTTGTTTATTTTACTTTATGTTTCTTTTAATTCTGCTTTTGGATTTATTATTGATGATGTAAAAGAAGTTGCATTCGCTATAAGTAGTGTAGATTTCTGCTTTGCTAAACGATCCGCGAATCGTGCTGCCCACACTGTTACTTAGAAAGCCGTTTATGTGTCAGGTTGCGGGGAGTGGCTAGATGACCCCCCTCATTATATTTAATAATGCATTAAGTTGTTGCTTTTAAAAAAAATCTTTTAAAATTAGTAAGTTAGTAACATGTATTAGAGCCATCAAATCGGTCTTAACGTGCCCGTCCAACAAAAAAAGTGGGACGATCTTTAAGTTTTAAACTATCCAGATTATTTTAGTGTAACTTATTATTATTTCTATATTAGTTTTTATTTAAATTTATGAAATAGTACGCTTTCCTCTCCCTTTACCTTCTTCTTGAAGAAAGACCACCATTAATGACTTTCAAGAGTTGAGTGTGTAGATGTAACCACACAACTGTATACTGAAATTCCCATTAGGTTTGGCACCAAATAGGTGGTCATATGTTCGAATCCCGGTGATAGGGACATAGATTTTTTGGACAGAAAATATTTGAGAAAGTATATGATAAATATTATTTTATATATAAAGAATCATTAGTATTTAAAAAAATTAATAAATTAAATTTAAATCTAATATACAAGCTAAGTGTATTAAGTAAGTCAAACACCATATAATGAACATGTGAGAATATAAAACTTCGGTTTACATTCAACGTAAACAAGCATTAAATAAGCTTTACAGTTAAAATTTAAACCACATGACTAAGCCAATAAAATAAATATAACAGAACTAGACTAACTCTTAACAGAACAATTAATATTGTAACATGTAAGACAATGTGATAACACAAAAACACTAAGCTTAAGTTTGATAACGATAATTATGATATTCTATATCTTGCAATTGAGTGGGAACACAACATTGAATTGACAATGACGACATAAAATATTAAACCCTTGAGATATGGACACCACCAAAATATCAAATACGGAGTATATATTTCTTGTCCGAAAAGTTTTTCTAGAATATAATTATCGTATTTAAATGTCATGAATTTAACTTTTCTCAATATTTTTTGGTCGAGCTTGTCATACATAGTCAGAAACATAGAGCGATGTTTACCTAATACACACTCTCAATAAGTAATTGCAAATTTCATTCGCCACCTTATGAATATATATACTCAATACATGATCGAGATTGTGTGCATTTATGTAATTCTCGCGTTCTTATCTAAGGGTTAATTCCCATTTAATTATTTTTATATATATACTCCATATAAACAATACTTGTCACTCCGGACCCATCATGTATAGTAGTCATGTATATATTATATGTTTCAGTGTTTCACTTTTCTCAAATATTATTAATGTAGTAGTGGATTATATTATAAAATACTTAGCTTGACTTGAGGGGCATGGCAATGAGTCAAAGCTAAGGGGGAGTATAGATCAAAGGATGTGATATTGTGATTTAATTATTGGACCCACCCAAATTTGAATTGCAGTTTTTTTTTTCTCTGAATTATAAAGTAATAATGCATTTGGTTCATGTATTATATAAGTATTATCACATTTAACCTTTAAATCATTGGTAAAATGACATTTTAAACACTTCTATAATTTTGTTAACGATTATGTTAAGATTTATTCTTCAACAATCTTTATTTTTTTATTTTTTTTTTGTGACAAGGAAAACTCAGAGTCATTA